TCTTTTCTTTTTGCCAAATTGTTATTTTCCAGTATATGGAGCCTGGATCTCAGAAAGGCTAAATTTTACTACCAATCTCTACCATTTTTTCTTCTCTCTCAAAATAGCTGAAATTTATTGTCTCACAGTTCTGCCAAGTAAAAGTCCAAAATCAAGGTGTAAGCAGGGTCATGCTGCCTCTGAAGCCTACGGTAGGATAGCCTTTGTTGCTAATTTCTGGTGGCTTCCTTTTAATCCTTAGTATCTCATGGCTTGCAGCTATTGCACATCAGTCTACCTCCATTCTCGCATGTGTATCAGTATTTCTTACCCTCTTTTGAGAGGGACACCAGTCATTTTGGATTATGGGTCTACCCTACTCCACTATGACCTCATCTTAACTAATTACATCAATAACAATGCTGTCTCCAAAGAGGGCTACATTCTGAGGTACTGGGATTCAGGACATCAGTATATCTTCCTCCCCTATTCCACACCTGTCTGAGGATTGAACTCAGGGGTCCTGTGTATGCACTGTACCTATAGGCTACAATCAAACTCTCTACTTCTGTGTATTTGGGTGGGGGGAATACACCATTCCATAACAATTATGCTCTGAGTACTTTATGAATGAATCATAGGGGGCCAGGGATTTAGCTCAGAGGTGCTGCCACCTGCCTTGCAAGCACAAAGTCCTGAGTTTAATCCCCGGTACAAAAAAAAAAAAAAGAATGAATCATCACAGTTGAAATGGCAATAGTCACTATTTTATGTGCAGTGAGATAGTACCTAAGGATTAACATCCCATAAAAAAGAAGAAAAGAAAAAAAAGAAGAAAAGAGTATTAGCAAATATCTCAAATGTTTCATCATTAGTCACATCTCTGGATTTAGTAATTTCTAAACCTAACAATGCAAATATTTAAAAATTAGGTCATGGTAAATACTATTGATATAACATATTTATAAAGCACTTAGTAGTTTGACAAAATTTTGGGGTTTTTTTTGTTTTATACTGTATCATTTTCTTTTTGGGGTACTGGGGATTGAACTAAAAGCCTCATGCATGTTAGGCAAGTACTCTACTACCACTGAGCTACATGTCCAGTCCTCTCAAAATATTTTTGGATGTAATTTCTTTTTTAATTCTCAAAGCAACCCTTATAAAATTGGATGTGGTGCTACATCACTTTAATCCCTGTACTTGAGAGGGTGAGATCTTGAGTTTGAGGCCAGCCTGGGCTCTATAGCATTTCAAGGCCAGTCTGGACTACATTACCTCAAAACAAAACAGAAGAAAAGAAACAAGAAATCCTCAACCCCAGTATGTTTTATCTCCATTTCATAACTTAAGAAATTCGAAATAAGAGTATTCAATATTCGTTTCATATACATGCTCTAAAAAAATAGACCTGGAACATGTCTTAGACCATCTTTGATTCTTCTAAATAACAGAATACTTAAAACCAGATAACTTATAAAGGCTGATTTTATTATTCATGGTCCTATGGTCTGGAAAGTCCAAGATTAGGTAGCTGCCTCTAATGAATGCATGTACGGCTTCAATTCATGGCGGAAAGTGGAAAGGCAAACAGGTAGGTGTGGAAGAGAGAAAGAAGAAACCTCCATGATACATAACACATTTCCCAGAGGAAAGCATTAATGCCTTTGTGAGTGTTCCATCCCTATGATCCATTGACCATCTACTAGGTCCTACCTCCAACACTTTTAGCAATCAGATATCAATATGAGTTTCAGAAAAGACAAGCCTACTAAAACCATAGCAGGACACAAAACTGGATTTCCTTAATAGAACCTGGAGCTCTTCCCAGATAGCCTGGCATATTGTAATACTTTTTTGAGCAAGAGAAAGTAAAGATTTTACTTTTCATTTTTTAAAAATTTTCATTTTTGTTAGTGCATGTTTGCAGTACACAATGATTAACATTCACCTTGGAGAGTTGCTACATATACATGACACATCTTAATTATTTTTACCCCACCTTCCCTCTTTTCATCTCTCCTTCCATATTTTAATACTTAATGATGATGATGACTACTAACATTTATTAAATGCTTACCATGGGCTAGGGACAGTTCCAAACTTTGCACACATTTGTAACTCATTTACTCTTTCCCAGAACCCTAAAAGGCAAGTACAATACAGAAGCACAGAGATGGTGAAGAATTAGTCCAAAGTCACAGAACTAGGAAATGCTAAAGCCAGCACTGAAATTCAGTTAGTTCTACTCCAGAGCCTACTTTCTTATTTATACAAGCCTCCTTAACCTTGTAAAGCAGTCACTGTTCCAGGGTCCTTGTAGGGTCCTTATTACACCACTACTAAACAATGTGAGAGTATTTATCAGCATGCTACATACCCATATATGACTCCTCATGTGACTTAATGCAAGTTACTAAATATCTCCAAATGTCAGCTGTCTCATGTGTGAAATGAAGATATACTTGCAGTAAGGGCTAAGTTAGTTAACATATGCAAATGATCTTCCTCACATCAGTCATATGATAAGCACTCATTAATCATATTTAAGAGTTAAACTGATATAATAGTTTAGTGTTTGAAAATTACTGGGGTAGGGAGGAGAGGATAATTAGTTTTGACAGGTAAGATCTGACAAAGCATTGTAGGAAAAGCAATAGTTGGGCCTTGAAGAGTGCTAATAGGTGAAGAAGGGCATTCTATGGAGAGAACCCTGTAAGGGTAAACGAACCATTCTGCATGCTTCCCTGCCTGGAGGAAGAATAAGAATCATAATATTGAACACTCTTATACAGGATTATGCGAACTGTGGTCCCCAAATCTACTATCATCAGAGTTTCTAAGTAGTTCCAAAAACGTTCCTTCTGTACTCATCAAGAGTTTGTAATTCTCTATTCACATGTGTGGTCACTTGCCAGTTATCCATCTAACGCTTATCTTTTTACCAATGCACTGTCACTCTTATAGTAGCAAAATTAGCCCAGGCATTGCATTGGTCCCTCTGACCCTCTGTCCTCTAAGCTTGAGGCATTAATCATTTTTGTTTCTAATTGCTATCATGTATGGAACCAGTGGGCCACCCTGGTCACAAGAGAAAGGTGAACAGTGCTTTGGTTTGCAGCTGGATGGGAGGGGCTTCCTTACTTCCACAGCTGTACTGCTGGCCTGAAGTAGACAGCAACTTACCTCTCATTAGCATACTCCATGACCTCTCTTGTCTGGCATTCCATTCCTGCTTGGGGGTGCAGAGAAGAGGAGTAAGAGCAAAGGACCTTCTCTGACAAAGCGCTTGTAAGGTCACTGGGAAACAGTTAACATTTCTTTACAAGTTGATTCCAGGGTCCTTGTCTTCTGCTTTCCTCACAACACTACCACTGAGATTCTGTTGTCGTGTTTGTGCCTACTGTGTCCCTACTGCCTAGGCTTTTCCTCTTCATTGGTATAGACATGCCATATACTTCTCAACGCCCACATCCTAAATGCCATTGATCTCTCAAACTCCCAGGGCATACATTTTATTAAGAAGAGGCCTTTCTAAAAACAATTGTCTAAAGCTTGTTCAAAAAAGCAACCTAACCATCCAAAAATCTGGTTCTAATTCTATTTATATCAGTCCAACATTTACTGTTGTAATCTAAGTCTAAATTTATTTTTTAATAAGTGGGGCATATACTACTCATCCTGCCGCAGGGACTGAGATGATTGTTATATGAGAATATATGCATAGGGGTTGGGGTTGTAGCTTAGTAGTATAGTGCTTATCCAGCACATGATAGGCCCAGGATTTGACTCTCAGCATTGAAAAAAATTACAAAAACATTCCTAAAACCTGAAAATCCCTATCCAACTGAGATATTAATATAGGCAGGATATGTTTTCACAATGTAGGGGCAAAAGGAAATGCTTCCCTCCACTCTAAACATTCACTAAAATGAACTGACAGAGTAATAGGAAAAAAGCATACAAATATTTTACATGCACAGGGAAAATATCACAGTATGAAAATCATAAATAAGCATGAGTCTCTCATAAGAGCTTGATGGCTGAGACCTAAATAACCTCACAAACTACCAAGAAAAATAGGGGCTTGACAGGGAGTGGCTTGGTATTTCTTTAATATTTAATTAGTATACTTGATTTTTTCGTACTGGGGATCGAACTCAGGACCTTGCGCTTGTGAGGCAGGCATGGTGCCACTGAGCTAAATTCCCTGCCCAATATACCTAATGTTTTAAAATTTTGGGGGGTCATACTAGAGATTGAACCTATGACACACTGAGCTGCATCTTAGACTTTTTAATATTTTTTCTTTTGAGACAGGATCATACTAAGTTACTCCAACTGGCCCTGAACATGTGATCCTCCTGCTTATTTCTCTCCCCTCCCCCACCACCTTTGCTGAGACAGGCCTAACTTTATATTCCAGACTGGTCTCAAACTATCACTCCTTCTGCTAGGATTACAAGCATACACTACCATGCCTAGTTTATTTTTCTGATTTTTTACAAAGGGCATTTACAAGCATAGTCTTTTTCGTCCTTTAATTTTATTTTTATAGATCCATGTTTGCAGTAAATAATGATTACATACTCCATAGGGAGTTGGTACATGTACATAGCACATTTTAATTTTTTTATCTCTTCCTATATCTCTTAAGCATGTTCTATTTGTATGCTTACAATCTAAATCTAACTTCACTGTTTATGTTTAGATTTATCAGGAATAGGCGTATCTTAGACTTGAAGTTTCCAATTTTAATTAATTAATTAATTTTGAGGGTTTTTTGAGCCAGAGTCTCTTTATGTAGTTCAGGCTGGACTTGAACTCACTATGTAGCCCAGGCTGGCCTCGAACTGGCAGTGATCCTCCTGTCTCAGCCTCCAGAGTACTGGGATTACAGCCATGTAACACCACACTCAGCTGAAGCTGCTAATTTTAAAAAAATCACTTTTTAAAAACAAAGTTGAAATTCAACATTTTTATTTAAAAATATTTCTTAAAATACTTTATTTGATGTGTACGTGAAATTTAGGAAAGCACAGATCTTATTTAATAACATGTAGGTTTTGAGTTTATAGTACACTTACTACTGATAAAAAGTGTTGCAATTTCAGAAGATTTAAGTCTGATTTTTTTTCACAGTCTAGGAAGTACAACTTTCTATGACCCAATCATCCATTTTTTATTTTGTATTCATTAAGAAAAGGTCCAAAGGGGAAGGAGAAAGGAAGTGTGTGTGTGGGGGGGGGGATGGAAAAATATGAGAATGGGAAAAAATGGAAATTTTTCCTTTGTAAACAGGGAGGGGTGGAGGGGTTGAAGGGAGGGCAGGGGAATGGGGGAAAAATAAGAACCAAGATATAGAATGTACAGGTACAGTCATTACTTTTAAATCGGTTACAAATAATATATTTGTTCAATCAACATTGCTTTCTAATATATTTAACTCAGAGAACTATGGTACTCATACAAACTTTTGCTTAATAATTCAGTATCTTGAGAAGGAGAAATCGGTTAATTTGTACCAATGTATAGTTGGATAGGAGAAAGAAATTCTAATATTTTACAGCATAGTAGGATAACTATAGTTAGTTAACAGTTAATCGATTATTTGAAAATAGCTAGCAAAGAGGATTTTGAATGTTTCCAAAACAAAGAAATGATTTGTCTGAGGTGATTGATATGCCAATTACCCTAATCTGATCATTACACATTATATACATGTATTATATCTTACTCTGTACCCAATTATCATGTGCCAATTAAAAAGTAAAAATATTTAAAAGTAACAGTATCATTGTCTGCACCACAAGAAAAAGCACTTAGTTATCACTTAGGATGAGACAATGGCTATGCCTGTGGATTTAAATACAGTCTGAACCTCATTATTTGCTAATAGTATACTTGCAAATATATCTGCTTATTAAAATTTATTTGCAACTCGCAAATCAACACTGCACACTTTCATGGACATAAGCACATGCATGTGCAGAATGGGAAACACTTCGCTTTCCTGGAGGAGCTGCGAGTTCCCAGCTAAAGTGAACCAGGAAGCACTCTGCCTACTTGCTTTAGCTCTCATACTGTAGACAAATTTTCTTTGCTTCCCCCCCTCCCCTCTCTCCTCCCTCGCTTTCTCTCCCTCTCTCTTTCCTATGGGGAATTTAACCCAGGACTTCCCCGATGAAGTATATCCCTAGCCTTTTTTTATTTTGAGATAAGGCCTTGCTAAATGGACCAGGCTGGGCTTGAACTTGTGATCCTTTTGGCTCAGCTTCCGAGAGTGCTGGGACTACAGTCACAAATCGCTATGCCCAGTATGAATTTCCTTTTTGTGACCTATTTACTACCATGTTTTTCCACCCTTATACTTTCTCTTGGTGATTTAATTGTTAAAAATGGCTCCCACGCACAGTGCAAAAAGTCTGCCGAGTCTAGGCAAGAGGTTGTGCTGCGTACCCCAGAGAGAGTGCATTAGGTGAGCCTTATTCAGGCTGCGGTTGCAGTGCAGCTGGGCATGAGTTCAGTGTTAATGAATCAACAATTTATATTAAATAAAGTGTCTTTAAGCAGAAATGCTAATAAATAAGTTTACATTATTGATCTGATGATGAAAATATTGTGAATATGTGTTTTGCCCAGGAGCAATCATTCCATAATAACTGAGTGTTTGAGGTGACTTTATAGAACTTAACTGCTATGAATAAAAACAAACAACTGTACATTTGTCTGTGTTTATGAGCTAATTAAAAAAATTTACTACAGAAAATTTCTAATAGATATGTAGAGAGAATAGTACAAGTATAATCAGTCCCCAAGGATCTATTACACAGGCTCAACAATCACTAACTCATGACCAATCTTGTTTCCTCTTTACTTCCCCAATCCTTTTCCCCTTGGGCTTTCACACAAAGTAACTTTGGTTTTAAGGAGAGGACAGGGTGACAGAGCAATAGAAAAATAAGTCATTATGCCCTGCTGGCCAGAAGCCAGGCTAGCAGGTGGAGGTTGATGGCCAGAATGAGGAACGTGGCCTGGCCAGCAGTAGTTATGCGGCCTGTGGTGCATACCTTTGCTCTCTATGTCATACTTTCTGTGTCCTTTGTGGTCAGAGCTGTGGGCTACTTGCTGCAATAGAGGGATGGACTCTTTGCCTGTGGGGAACAAGCACATCTCAAAGTGCCAAGGAGGGTCACAAGTGGGAAGAGCTGCTGGGAAAAACTGAATCTATGTGATATGTCTTCAAAACAAGGTACAATTGGCCTTAAAGTTATTCTACAGAGAAATCACTTGGACAAGAATTAATAGATGACTGAGGTCCCTGTAATCCTACAGTGGGCCATGACTAATCCTGCTATCAAGTACATCCAGCCCCCAAAGCATATCTGATTCACTTTTACTTCTTATCCTGGCCTTTCCTGCGGCACACACACAGACACATATGAACACATAAGCACACACACATGAACATGCATAGTGGCTGCTCTTTTGTGGCCAACAAACACAGTAACAACTGAGGGCCTGTGAAGAGGAAGGCTGCATCTGTTGTTTGGGAGGCCACGAGTGCTCAGGCTTCTGAGCTATGCGCACACTGCCTGGGGAGTGTTACGAAATGAACACTGGCTGTCAGCCTCTCCGGGGAGGTGATTTGGTCCCAAGTCCCTCCTTCAGGAGGGACTCCTACATGTCTTGTTCTAGTTTGCACTTGGAAGAACTAAAAAAAAAAAAAAAAGGAAAAAAATCTCCCTGGCTCACTTCACTAATTTGTCCTATCCTTTGTGTTCCTTCTTTCTGAAGTCCATCCTTGCAGCTCAAGGATGGGATTCCTCAAGGAAAGGAAAGCATTTTTCTGTTCTTGGAAGTTTAGATTATTTGCCTTGGAACGGGGAGGAACACATGCCTGGTGGCTCTGCTTGAAAACAATCACTGTATTCCACTCCCCATCACATCTGGTGCATCTGAGAACCGTTAAAAAAAAAAAAAAGAAAGAAAATTAACCCATTAACACTGTGTTATTTCAAGTTACTTTTTTATGTGTAAGGATTAAAGAAAAGGAACTCTTTTTCATGCCAAGTGAAACTAGACCAAGAAATTTGGCTTTACATCTAATTTCTGGGAAGGTCATACAAACATTTTAATTTCAGCTGGTGATGTGGAACTTCAGCATGGGTGATCCCATTTTTATTTTTACTCTGAACTACTGGGGCCTCACACAGAAGCTTGGCCCAAAACAATGGCTTGCTATAATTTTTATTTAATAATATAAAAGACAAGGAAAATTAGAGGAGGTTAAGAAGACATGGTATTGAAATGTAACACAGTATTATGGGACAGAAAAAGAACATGAGTTGGAAAAGTATGCAAATATGAGTAGTCTTCAGCTAATAGTATTGTATCAATGAAAACTTTCTTGTGTTGATAAATGTACCGTGATTGTGTAAGATGTGAACTTCAGGGGAAGCCCAGTGAGGGATGCACAGAAACTCTGTGTACTATCTTTGCAATACATCTGTAAAGCTAAAATTATTTCAAAATAAAGGTTTTTTTAAAAAACATATGTTGGCCCTAACTCTAGAGTTTCTACTTCAGCAAATATAGCCTCTGTCTAGAGAATCTGTATTTTTTAAACAGATTATAACAAAACTTTTATTACAAAAGTTATACATAACAGAGCATCAACTATTTTCAAGAACAATATTAAACCTGATAAGCAATGAAAACCAGACTAAAGAAATGTGTAACAAGAAACTAATCACCTTTCTGTAATCAAACATTCAATTATCTACAATGTCTTTTTACAAAAGGGGTAGGACCATGGTTTACAGGAGAGAATCTGTATTTGTAATAAGCTAAGGAGCCACTACTGTTAGTTCAAAGAAAATACTTTGAAAAACACTGCTTAAAAGAAACCTAAAGCTGCCTGATGTTTTTTCTGCCCTTTCCTTAAATTTCCCTCCAGTAAACACAAGAATGATTAAGAAAATCATTCACTTTTCTGGTTTGAAAGAGGTTTATGTATTTATTTTTGGCTTTATTTAATGTCCCTCTCAACTGTTAGTAATTTTACCTTAAACATAATGTAACATAAGAACATCTCTTTTTAAAAATGCATCAGTCAATCCTAAAATTGGATTTTCCATGCTCAGTTCACTTAGTACATTATTTCAAATAGCAAGCCTCGAAAATGTGGTTAAAATATTGACAAAATCCAAGGATGCATTGGAACCATGCTAGGTACCAACATGGATCCAGGAAACTAGTGTGCACAGTCTATTACTAACGAGTTACCTCACAGTCTACTCTCTCTTCCTCGAGTTTTCAGCAGAACACATGGCCACTCAGAAGGCATTTTCCAGATTTCTTCCAATAAGTATTTTCAGAAAACTATGCTTTGGTTATTAGGAAGTAAGAAGTGGGAAATATAATTTCTACTTACCCTTAAGTAATCCCAGCATTTGGGAGACTGAGGCAGGATTGCTATGAGTTTGAGATCAGCCTGGGTTGCATAGTTCAAGATCAGACTGAACTGCACCATGAGACCCTGTCTCAAAAAGAAAACAAAATTTAAAAAAGGAAGAAAGCTATTTTTTTCCGCACTATGCTTTCTGATGATGGGTGATTATGTTGGCGAAGTGAAGCAGCTATATTGGGCCACAGGTGGGTGGAAGTGTCATGAAGATGGCGTAACAGCAGTCAATACATGAAAGTGAGGAAAGACCTGGATAAGCTTTATTGCTTTCAGCTACTAGTTCTCATCAATAATTTTAGAGGTCACATGACTAAGCAATATAGTCTCCTTAGCCTTGCTATAGATGGTACAGTTGCCCAAGTTGTTTTTCAGGAATATGTAGATACTTTAAACATGTTGAAGCCACTGACACACCCCTCCCACTTTACTGTATTTAATTTTTTGAGTCTCACTAAATTCCCCATAATGGGTTCAAACTTTCAATGCTCCTGTTTCAGCCTTCCAGAGTGCTGGGATTAGAGGTATGCACCATTATGCTCTGCTCTGACCCTCTACTTTGGCCTGTGCAAGTGTCTGATGGGTGAGCTTTTTACATCAGAAGGCCAAAGCTCTACTTTGAGACCATTTTCTGAACATGTATCCTGTGAAAAGCCATGAAGGTTGATGATGCATGTGTAGGCCACTGATGACTTCATTTTTTCTTACCTTCAATCACCTTTCCCCATGACTTAGACCACTTTGCTTCTTTGTCCCTTAAATTCCCCCTAAACTTTGATGTAAGGCCTATTTGAAGCTTGCTTTTCCATTTCTACACACTTGATTACATTGTGAATAAATTTCTCTTGTATAAAATTGGTCATTTCAGTGACTGGCCTACTGCAGGTGTGGCAGGCAAACAGGCCTGGTTTGGTAAGAGAAAGAGCCTGGATATCTGACACTATAGCAACACAAATCCTGGATTGCTTCCAGACTGCTTCTGTACAAGAGAAAAACAGGCATCTATGTTAATTTCCTGCTATTTTGAACTTGATGCCACTTGGAACCTAAGATGACACATGCAGTCATCCAGAAGTTGTGCAGAATGGAATAAAAAGAGAACCAAGGCTGAGGGGTAAATGGGGACAGAGTGGCAAATGGAGGCTTAAATCCAGCTTGCCCTCTTTTTGTCAAGCTTTGTGCTGTGCTCTGTTGATTACAAGGCTGATATATCCATGGCCCTGTAAGAGTATGACTTTATCTACTATTTTGATTTTAGAGCAGCATTTTAAAAAATATTATCTACAGGTTCTTGGGGCATTGGAGATAGCTTTAAGTAGTTTCTAGATGTACTTCAAAAAGTTGTTAGGGGAATGGTGGTATAGCTCAGTGGTAGAGTGCTTGCCTAGCATGTGCAAAAAAAAAGTTAATATTAAATAGTGTGTTTATATCTGAGGATAGTTAGTACTTTATTCAGCAACTTCAGACTTCATTGTTTGGAAGAAAGTCCATAAGGAAAGAGGGAGTTTGTTGAGGTGTAGGAATGATGTAGAGCAGAAGCTTATTGGAACACTATGTCATTAAGCAGTATTATCTGATGGCTAGATACATGTTCTGGAGCCAAACTACTTGCCTTCAAATCCTGACTCTCACAATGACTAATTAGCTGTTATGTAGGCTTATTATTTAACCTCATTGTCAATTTTTGTAACACATAAGATGCTGTGAGGATCTAAATGCATATTACAGTGCCTCAGGGATAATGCATTCTGGGAAGCACTAGGCAGGAAGTAACTGTACCAAGTCCACAAATTGTGAAAAGCTTACTCTGTCTCAGCATTTGTACATATAAAACCTATTTTACTCATGAGGAAGCTGAGGCTTAGGGTCAACGACCTTCCCAAGGTTATCATCTAATTATCACTCAGCTAGAATGCAAACTCTGGTTAGATTCCAAAGTCGAGCTCCTAAGATCAAGATCAGAGACAAGGTGGCATGTTTTCATAGCTTCCTCTTGTATGTCAACTTAATTGCCCAGCTCAAAGCTATGCCATCAATCTCTTTAAAGTGTGCATAGGATAGGAAGATAATTGGAAAGGCAGCAATTGAAGATCCACAACTAAGAGGGAGAGGAGAGTCTTGTGCACTGCAAGGGTGGTCAGTCTGGGACCTGCGGCAAAGAATGGGAGAACAAGGGAAGCTAGCTGACCAGACCTTTAAAATGCCTCTTGCAAGGCATGATGGTACATGCCTGTTATTACAGCACTTTGGGAGGCTGAGGCAGGATAATTGTAAGTTTGAGTCCAGCCTAGGCAAATTAGAGATCATCTCAAAATTAAAGAAAAAAAAAAAAAGGCCGGGGATATAGCTTAGTGTGAAGAATCTGGGTTCAATTTTCAGTATGGGGGTTATGGGGGGGTGGAGTCTCCTAATGATTTACATGAAAAGTGGCCACTCAAGGTTAATTTTCAGTTCTATCAGTCGTTTTTTTTTTTTTTTTGGTACCGGGGATCGAACTTGGGTCCTTGAGCTCTTGAGCTTGCGCAGCAGGCGGCGAAACCACTGAGCTAAATCAATCCCCGACCCTAGTCGGTGCTTTTAAAATATTGTTGCACTGTAAGCTATATGATTAGTTCTATGATTCAGCAATTTCATACGCTAAATTGGACAGTTTCGAAGTATCCCAAGGATTTGTTATTTATTTCCTTATATGGATTCCAGGCAACATCTGTGAGGCAAAGACATTGCAACAAAAATCTTAAAATGTTGCAAATGCGTTTCACTTACTTTTGCCAACACGTTAAAAAACACAGTTTCTTTTGAAACTTTAACTTTCCCTTTTAGGAACAAGAAACTTTACGCAACTATTGCCTTTTCCAAGGCAACTCTATTCATAAAAATCAATGGCAGTGTGTGGTGGGGCACACCTGTAATTCTAGCACCGGCTCCCTGGCTGAGGCAGGAGGATCTCGAGTTCCAGGCCAGCTTGTACTACAGAGACTTCGTCTAAAACAAAAAAATACCAAAAAAACCGGCAAACAGAATACCTCAAACACGAACATGAGTGGAAGGAAAGACAATAAAAACACAAGTCAATGACTTGGCGAAATTTGACTCCACGGATTTTGGTTGCATTAAACGTCTCTTACGGCAGGCTGGAGGTTGGAGGTAGACGACAGGGCCAAATCCGATTTGCTTTTACACCCATCAGTGCCACAGCTCCAAGCCCGTCACTTTCCCTACACCTGCTTCCTCGTGGGGACAGCCTGCAACTGTGCCCAGGGAGTCGATGGCCTCCGGAGCACAAATGAGGCACGGCCACCGCTCCTCCGGGCCTCCGTCCACTGTGCTACCAGGCGGGCGCCGCCAGCCCCGCGACTTTGGCAGGGCTCTACTATCTCCGCCAGCGCCGCCTCCCGCCCCAGCCCTCTGCCAGCCCAGAGTGCGATGGTATCCTGCTCAGTCCGCCTTCAGAGCCGTCTTTCCAGCTGCCTCGGAACCCGACGGAAGAAAGAGGACGTACGCTCTGAAGCGCCGGCGAGCCCTCTACAGCGCATGCGCCCAGCAGCCCGCCCCGCAGGCCTCGCGCTAGTGACGTGGCGACGAGAGGCCGAGCCGAAGTCGCCGGCGGGAGGGTGGGGGAGGAAGAGCGCGGTGATCGCGTACGTCAGAGCGGAGAGCGGAAGGTCAGGGAGGCTCGGAGCGGAAGTGAGACCAGGGAGTCTGTCCGCCATTGTGGACCCGAGAAGCGGAGAGCGAGAGGGGAAGAGGAGCGTGCAAGCGGAAAAGACGGGCCCTTGCCGCTGACTCCCGAGCGCGAGGCTCTCTTTTTGGTTTCTCCGCGAGCGGCTGCAGCGGCGGCGGCTGGAACAGTCATTCACCGAGGGCGGCAGCCAACTGCTGTGAGTGCACGGGGAGAGGCCCAGGCGGCGGCGGCGGCGGCGGCTCCTCTCGGGTTGCGGTGAAGAATGTCAGCCACTAGCGTGGATCAGGTGAGGGAGCAGAGGCCCCAGGCTCGGCGAGGGCCTGAGCCCCAGAGCTCCACCCTCGCGTGGGGCTCCGGCTCCTCCCCGCCGCCGCCGCCGCTGCCGCCGCTGCCGCCGCCGCCGCCGGCCCCATAACGGTGCCCAAGTTGCTGCGGTCCTGCGGCCGTGCGGGCGGCCCAGCGGCCGCGGGCCCAGGAGGTGGGGGAAAGACCGTTCTTAGGGCCCCGAGGATGCGTCGCGAGGGCGGCAGACGTGGGGCAGGGACCCTGTGTGCTCTGGGAGACGGGCGCAGAGAGGCGGTGGGAGGTTTAAAGGCCGGGGGTGATTGAGAAATCGGTGCTGTGGGGGATGTGGTGGGTTTTACTCCTACGCGGATTGTTTAAAATAACTTATCTTTGATGTTGTTTTCGATTAACACACTTTTCCTTCTCTCTTCTCTTTCTTCTCTTTGTCGCACCTTTCATCTTGTTACATAGAGACCTAAAGGGCAAGGAAATAAAGGTGAGTTTGAATTTTTTTTTTCTTAGTTCTCAATGTTGCCTTGATGCTGTTTGTAAACAGCGGGGATTTTTGTTGTTGCTTTTTAAAAATATAGAATCGATAGAAATTCATTATAGCTAAGGCAGCCAAAACTTAGGTTTTTCCTTGCCTTGAAACCAGTTAAGTACGAAAACAAGCTTTCTTAATTATATTTCAGTTGAACAGATATTATTGTGAATGCAGTAGTATTTCTTCAGTTGTGCAGTTTATCTCTTATGTAACTTCTGCCGCAAAGATTTCTACACGTGTGAAAAATAAGTATTTTCGTAAGTGGACATTTTGTTTGATATGTCTGGATCACATTGAAACATAATTCACTTAGTATTCCATGTCATATTAATGAAAATCAGACTTAATCACTGATTCTGTGGAAGTTAGTTGCAACAGGAGAACACCTAAAGAACTCATAAATGAAAGGGAGCGTAATCTTGTTATATAGTTCTGATTGCAGTGTGACTCAGTCTGGTATTTTACAAAGGCCTGAGAAGGAAATAAATTGTGAGGTTTCTGCCGGAACTATAAGATACACTTTTTAGTACAAGTACCATAGAACCTAAAGCACTCAAAAAATAAGTGTGTTTTGTATTTGATATGAAACAGTGTAATTAGCTGTCTGAAACATGACATTCATCATAAGACATTAATATAGAACAATAACTTTTCTTGGGGTAGTGCCAGTTAACATTATAGCAAATTATATATTTCTAACGTTTATAATAGGGCTTGAAATTAGACTAAATAGAATTATACATCCTGTGTTTTTGTTTCATTAACAAATCCTTACTTAGAAAATGAGATCTGTAGTAGCCTTTTAGATATAAGCTTAATGTTTTTAGTGGTGCTCTTTAAATTCTTCTGTGGGTTTTTATTTCGCATTGCAAATTTGGTTAATTTGAAAGAAACTGGTTCTGTATACATAGATTAGTTAACACTATATAAGAATTTGCACATATCAGATATACAGTACTGTGTTAAGTAACAGATTTGTTGTTTTAAGGAAGTTTTAATTCAGTATATAAACATTTAGAAAATTTGATTTTTAGAATTTCAATTTTATATTTAGAATTACTGCGTTATAAGCATAGATCTCAGAATTGGGTAGTTTCATTTTAAATGAATTTTTAAAAATTTGTAAATTTTAAAGAAATGATCCATTTTTTTGTTAGTCTGCCCAGTAGGAGGTTTATAGACTTGGAAATATATAAAATCTGTGGTCATTATTGCCTAGCGTAAATCATTTTATCCTAGATCTGTGGGGAGGTGGCACTTTGCAAGGCTATTTGAAATGCTAAGTGTTTTGTGTTACCTGCTGTAAGGTAAGTACACAAGTTCCATGAAGTACTTAATTTTCGTGATAAAACAAAATACATAGGTCATCTGTATTGTAAGCTGGTAGTATATTACTGTGAGTTTGACTTACAACAAGATCATTTCACTTAGGTATGGCCTGTTGACATCTATATTATACATATGTTATCTATAATCTGTATCATATATTGATTATTGATATTGTGATATAAATTAAAAACTACATACTGACTGTAAGTATTTTCTGGTTATTTAAAAATTTTTAGTCTATCAGTGTCACTTCTGATTGTGTATTTAGACACACATCCAGACTATTTGGATAGTTCTTTATTCTAGATTTTTTTTTTTTCTTTTGTTCAGTTCATAATTTCATTTAAGGATAGGATGATGGACTGGGCTTATTTTGAGTTCTTAATAGTTACTGACTTGACAGTTGAGCTTGAACATACTGTACTTTTTTGTCAAAATTTCTCCTCTATGAAACGAAATCCTGTTATGAGAATTGCTGTAACTGCTGTAGTTTACAGTAGCCATTGTATTTGCTGTATTTCTTTTCACCTTTTGAAGGAATACTGTATGAATTCTATGCAGGAGGAGAAAAAATGCTACTGACCTTGAAATATTGGTAATCACTTGAGTTTCTGCAAGTACGCAATTATAGGTATATATTACTTGTCTTTTATGCCTTTGCAAGGAAAATGATAAGGCCAAGTCACCACCACCAGTGAACTTATACTCTGTGTATAGCTGAGTGAAACTTTTCTACTTAAGCTGGCTTAATATCCAAGCTAATGAAATTGTTGTATTATAGTTCTGTTTGCTTTTTGTCAAGCAGAAAGTATAGGTATTTCTTGTGAACTACAGCATCAATATTCTAAAATTATGAGTAGTAATTTGAATTCAGAATTTGGCAAGCTTATGAAAAATACATGTTCCTGAGAAATTGGTATCACTTAAATTTTGAAAGCATAGTCCTTTTCAGTTGACTTAATACAATTTCAGAGATGCTGTATTTCCTTTCCTAATTGTCTTCGGTTGACATTGTTAGCCTAATACAGTACCTGGCTTTAATGCCTTTTATTTCCTAAGTGTTTTTCTGCATATCCTTAAGGACTTCATGTACTAAAAGAGCTAAAAGGAGCTATCAGTGTCTTTGTTAAAGCAAAAATGCTTTGAAGTATAATAATTCTAAGTTTACTTGTTTATAAGTTTGAACTCTTTTTTAATTAATAGATTGTCCCTGTGTGAAATGTCAGAACTCTATTATGCAAGGCAAGGGTAGTACCAAAAAGGATAGTTGAAATTTGACGATAATTATGTACCTCTTGGTCCATAAGTTTCAATACTGACTTTATATTTTTATTAACAAGTAGAATTTTTGCTTGTTAGAATAGAAGTGTGCTGTGCTTTCCCTTGCCAGTACTACTGATGGAAGTGTCAGATACCATCTTAGGCCTTGCTCCCTCCTTTCCCCAGCCCCTTAAGTTTATGAATAAGCAAATATATGAAAAAGGGTTTATCTTTTTTCTTCTCTTCCTTCCAGCATTGTTTTATACAACTACAATTTAAAAGAATTACGTTGAATTTAAGTTTTAATATTTCAGAAAAGTAGTGGAAAATACCTTATATTTTGGCCATATTATGTTGTATTCTTTCCCTGTCCTCCCCAGAAATGATTTCAAAGTACTTCACTATCATTTTAAGCCTTCATTTTATTATTAATCTTCACAACATTCCTTTAAGGAGATAGAGGGTATATGGTATTGTCGCTGTTTTTATAGGTGGGAAAACATGATGCACACATCTGTTGACTTTCCTAACTTGATGTAGTCAGGACCAGAGCAAAGAATCACCTGGCTTCTAAGGCCCATGTTCTATCATTGAGTTGACTCTGCCTCATAGAGCAGAGGAAACAGGAGAAGAATCATGTAAGTCATCTGTTCTTTTTTCCCCTGAAGAACTTTAACAGACTATGGAACTGACTTGGATTTCATTAGTATTTAATGGCATTCAGTCTCCAAGACATAACATTATCATTAAATAATATTTAAAAACTAAAGTCTTTAGAAGGCAGTTGAATCTTTTAAAGAATCTGAAACTCAGGGATTAGTTTGGAGTCTAATTTAGCAGAAGTTCCTGGTCGTAGGATGTGAAATATTTAACCAAACATTTTTTTCCTAGATTGACTTATTCTTCGTATGTTTAAGACATGCATGCATCATTTAAAAATAACTAATATTGTATTAGTGTAAATAAGTTCTGAGTTCTTGGTCTCAGCCTCTTAGAAAAGAACAAAGAAATGAAGAATAGTAGTATAATAACATTTGGATAAATTTTAAGTAGGAACTTTCTGATTGTAGTAGCAATATGAACTAGATACCTGAGAATCTAATCTATCAAAGAAATAGGTATAATTTCAAAGTGATTAGGTGTTTTATCTTTTTTTTTCTGCAATGCTAAGGATTGAACCCAAGGCCTCATGCATGCTTGGGAAGCGCTGCTGTACCACTGAGCTATATAACACCCCAGCTCTGATTAGCTGTTTCAGCTTTTGGCTAATTTGTACTAGTGTAATTGCCCAATATTGAAGTTTTTATTTTTTTCAAGAAGTAAAAGACCATGCATTACTACCTTTGATAAAAGTAGGTAAAACCATGATCTCTTAGACTGAAACGATTAAACCTAGCCTTTAAAATGGCAGGGGATGTAACCTAAGGCACCCTCTTCTTTGTGGACCACATTCTCAACTACAGCTCTGATGCAGTCTTTATCAAATA